ATTTTAAATTTTTTAAATGTTTTTATCTGCCTGTAAGCCGCCCAGAGTCCCATGGGAGTGGGCGGCATACAAATTTTATTAAACTGAAACTGAAAACTGAAGTCAAGGATGAAGTAAGAAGATGTGGCAATGATTTCCATGGATCGTTCCCATTCAGTCAGATCTTCAGTCGAATTCTTTGTTTTTGAAATGCTGTAGCTCAGTGTCACAAGCCTTATTTTGCAGGTCGAGGTCCCAGTTCCAATCTCCAGCATCCACTTGTGAGTTGGGAGTGCCACTGGCCTGAGTCCCCACAGAAGCTGTTCCTGGTTTCTGATAAACACTAGGGAACCATTTCATTTGAAGACATACTGAACATAGAAATAGGAATATAGACTGAAAATAGGAATGTGGAAATGAAATAATGAAGCATGTTGATTGCTTAGGTCATCTCAAGGATTTCTCTTTTCTCTTTCAGAAGGTACCCTTTGCCAGGTGTGGCAGAAAGAGGTGCCATGCTGGAGAGAGGAGAAGAGTTCCAGAAGGCAAGCCTGTTTGCTGCTACCAGTGTGATGCTTGTCCAAAAGGGACCATTTCTAATCAAACAGGTAGAGCATACTTTAAATATAGATGTTCCAGCATCAAGGAAGCCATTCAGTAGATCAAAATATTCGTTTGTATTAGAAATTATGTTTATACATAGCATTAAATTATATTTACCATATTTTTCAGAGTATAAGACGCACCTTTTTTCCCCAAAAAAGAGAGTGAAAATCTGAGAGGATCTTGTACACTGAATACAGCATTTTGGCCTCCTGAAACCCTGCCCTCTTCACAAAAATGGATGTGCAGAGGATTTGGGAGGCCTGCAGAGGGCTACTGGGGGCTGGGGAGGGCAGAAACAAGCAAAAAATGGGCCGTTTTTGCTCACTTTTTGCCCCCCAAGCCACCAGGAGCACTCTACAAGCCTCCTAAAGGCTATGCATACCCTTTTTTGGCAAAAAATGGGCCGTTTTTTGTTCATTTTTGCCTTTCCACCACCCCCAGCCCCCAGGAGCACTTTGCAGGCCTCTCAAACTCTCTGCATGCCCCATTATTCACAAAAAATGAGGCAAGCAAAGGGTTTGGGAGGTCTGCAGAGTGCAAAAATTATTTTTTATTTACCTCTTCAAAAACTTGGTGCGTCTTATACTCCGGTACATCTTATACTCTGAAAAATATGGTATATGTACCATCACAGACCAAACAAACACCATGTATTTTACTGCCCAACTGTTTTAACTTTAACAGGAAACAGGAAACCTCATTTAGAACAAAAGAGCATAGAGTATATACCATAGATCAAAACTTGTAAACACTGCCATCTATCTACTGGTTCAATATTACTGTAGTTGTTGCCTAAAAATCCATTTCAAAAATGAATTCTAACAGTTTCTTATATTTATTATTTTTGGTAAGATTGATATACATTCATACTTTTCAGCAGAACTCTTCAGTTTATAGAGTTAAACTGTTCTGACCACGGAGTCCACCTTTCCTGATCCTCAGCAATTTCATGCAGTATAGTTTCAGGGTAGAATTTATGAATCCTCAACTTGCATTTTCACTCCTCCTCTAACATCCAATTGGGAAAACGAACATCCAAACTTTTCCTGAAGGAGTGCCTTATTTGATTCAAACTTTAGTTTTTATTATTAAGAATACACTTCTGTCAGCTCTATCAATCTCAGAGAACATAAACATGTCAGAGAAAAGTAGATCCATCTATTAATCCATCCATCCATCCATCCATCCATCCATCCATCCATCCATCCATCC